GGACGATGCGCGAGTACAAAGTGGTGGTGCTGGGCTCGGGCGGGGTAGGCAAATCCGCCCTGACCGTGCAGTTCGTGACCGGCACCTTCATCGAGAAATACGACCCCACCATCGAGGACTTCTACCGCAAGGAGATCGAGGTGGACTCGTCCCCATCGGTGCTGGAGATCCTGGACACGGCGGGCACCGAGCAGTTCGCGTCCATGCGGGACCTGTACATCAAGAACGGCCAGGGCTTCATCCTGGTCTACAGCCTTGTCAACCAGCAGAGCTTCCAGGACATCAAGCCCATGCGGGACCAGATCATCCGGGTGAAACGGTGAGAGGGCCGGGCGGGCGGGCGGAGCCGGGGTCCCGGGGACCCCGCAGGCTCCGGAGAGCCTGGGCGCCCCGACTCTGGAGTAATTGTCCCAGCGCCAGAACTCCCCTCGCGCGTGTCCGCGTGCAGGGCGAGCTGGCTGGGGCCGTGGCGCTGAGCTGCTGGGCTCCAGCCTCATTGTCAGACCCATCCTCCTCCTCATTTTTGAATCAAGTTTGAGTGCTTTTGTTTCACAACTAAATTTTGGCATCCGGTTAACCAGCCCAGCTCTTTGTCTCTTGGATCATCTTTGTAACACTTGTATAGAACCTCAGAGGGAACAAAGTTTAAAACTTGCGGGAGATGAAGGGTGGTGGTGGTTTGTGTTTGTGTCAGGAGAGGGGAGCTGAACTCTGGGCGAAACATCTTCAGATTGAACAAGGAAAAAAATTCTACCTTTGCAATATTGACAGCATCAATTTGTGTTGTAAAACTGTCACATCTAGAGCAAAGGGACCTTTAGCATTTCAGGAGAGATTGAATGTAGCAGAATGAGTGTGGCAAAAATGAACTCTTAATTTATTGCAGAAACTTTGAAGACCAGTTTTCACATTATTTGAAGACACCATAGCAACTTAGTGAGGTTGCAAAGATGTATGCATGTAGGCGCACAAATACATAATTTACTAATTAAATGTTGCTTAATTCTTTAGGGAAATGAATTTTTTTTTCTCCCCTGCCCAGTTTATTCTGTTTTTCATCCCTCCCTTTTCCTTTTTTTTTTAAAATATTTTCCTGAAAAAGAACAAAAAATCGTTCTTCCAATGCATTAGCTAATTTAAAGTTAGTGCAAAAAAGCTTTTTCCTTTCTAAAGAGTTATGAATACTAGGCATAATGACTCGTGGCTTGTTTTCTGTTAAATTGGGTGTATTTCCCCTATAATTTCAAGCATCTGAGATGTTAATATCCTAAATTTGTTGGAGATTTTTGTAATTGCAGTTTAATCACACATTGGTGTGTCAGATCAATATTTGCATAGAATCATACTGACTGGGTGTTTTTTTTCCCCCCCTATCTGATTCTGTCCATAGCTGTTTGAAGATACATGCTAAATGATAGTTGTTGAGTAGACTCTAAAGACAAGCTCATACTAAGGTAGCTGGAGTCTCCTGATTTTGAGAAAGCAAGAGCCTAAGTCACGTGTGCTTAAGACTTACTCAAAAACTGACTGCAGGATTACAGGTGTTGGATTTTTAATGCACCTTGTGAGATTCAGGAGAAAGTCCTTTCCCCATTACTGCCTTTAACCAAGTAAGTTTGTCCTTTAGTATGAAATGAAAATTTTGTTTTATTTCTTTATTTAAATTTGAGCCTACTGAAATGAACATTTTCTGTGGCCTCTGTTGTTCTAAGACTTAAGAAATCAGAAAGCTTTTTTATTTCTCTAGACATATATTCTTCAAGTGGTTTATGGTCAACAGAGGAACAGTTTTGCTGTTGAGCTTAATATGTATGTGACATATAAAAGGCTGCAACCTTCAGGGGATTCAAATCTTAATTATATTCTACTATCCCATTCCCAAGACCATTCAATTCAAATGAAAAAAAAAAATCTACAAAACAGGATAGTCTTAATACATTGCTACATCTCAGTGTTTGGCTACATCCATTAAGTGATGGAAGTAAATGCTTCATCTGCCCCACCCTTCACATTTTAATATAAACATCTAAAGAAACAAGCCTTTTTTATAAAGTCACATATCCAGAGCAAACTTCTTGTTTGGCACATAGCTAGAGGACCAACTGTGACAGGCAAAATATCATTGGATAGTATAGTCCACAACATTTTAAGAGTTTCTTATTTTGTGTAGGTTTTCTTTCTCAGTATTTTAGTTTAAATTTGAATCCTGGAATAAATTAATGTACAGTGACCCAGTGTGGAAAAGATGACAGGCCAGTTGTGTTTGCCTGAATGTCATTTTAGTCATTAGTTTCTCATCTTGATGTAAAAAGACCATTGATTGGGAAGCTAAAGTAGAGTTCATAAACTTTTTTATTGGCATTTAAATATTTTCTCCACAAAAAAACACTCAGACCTTTGACATTTAAGTGTTTGATGTTTCATACTCCACCCTAACTTTGTCTGCTGGCTTCCCACTCTATAGCATATTATACGAAAATGAAATTGAAAAGAGAATGGACGTGTGTCCGTGATGCCTACTACAATATATAAAGCACATATTATGCTCAGACACTCAAGTCTGTTAATTCTTTATTCCATCCCCCCAAGTAAAGAGAATAAAACATTTTCAAATAAGTGAGTTTTCTATTCTTGTGAGAACTACTTGTTAAATTAACTAGTTAGAACAAGAAATGGTCAACAATTGTTCCCTCTTCTCTGCCCATTCTTGGCTAGTTGTTTTACATATCATACAACAATTGTTTTGCAATATTCAGTGTCACCATAATGCAGATGCCTTAACTGAAGAGACTTATTATCTTGCTAAGACAATCAAGATGGATTGACAGGGTGACTGCAGCAATGGGCTCAAGTGTATCACAGGTGGTGAGGGTGGCACAGGATAGGACGGATTCAGATCTGCTGTTAATAGGGTCGCCGTGAGTCATACTCGACTCCTAACAACACAACACCTAACAACAGCAACAAGACCAGTCAGTGATGGAGAGGAGATTTAACCCCAAATCTGTGGAGCCCACGTACTTTGCTCTTTTTTCTTTATCAGACAACCTTTCAACTTGGCCATTACCAGCTAATTCACTATCTAACCTTTGGTCCAGGTGTGATTCAACAAAATCTAATGTAATAGATGTAATTTAAAATTGCCTAGTAGGTGACATTTTAAAAAGTAACACAGCATGTTGCAAGGAGGGACTAGTCTTTGGAGAGGGACGTCATGCTTGGGAAGGTGGAGGGGCAGTGCAGGAGGGGAAGACCCCTGATGAGATGGATTGATTCAGTGACTGAGGTAATGAGGGTAGGTGTGTCAGAGATAGTGAGATTGGCACAGGATAGGGCAGGGTTTAGGGCTGTTCTACATAGGGTTACTATGAGTTGCAGGTGACTTGACAGCATATAACAACAACACCACAGCAAATACAGTTCATTTTAATAATGCAGTTTATTTACCCCACCATGCCAGTCTTGGTTTTCTAGTGGTGTTAAAATAAATACCACAAATACATCATTAACAAAATCATTTGTTTTCACATAGATAGGGAAGCTGGATATACAAATTCCAAATACAGTTTACAGAGGAAGACGTCTTCTCTGTTGGCTTTGCAGGGAGGTTTGTGTCTTTCAACTTCAGCTTCTGGGTTCCTTAGATACCTCCATGTGTCTTGGCTTTTGTCTCACCCATCTCTCTGCTCAATTGTTTAATTTCTTTTCTATCTCAAAAGAAATTGACTCAAGATATACTCGAGGCTAATCCTGCCCATGTAACAAAGCCAGCGCATTCCAAAATGAAGTTATAATCAGAGACAGAGGTGAGCATTTACAACACGTGTGTGGGAGACACACGTGTAATTTAATACATAACATTTGGCTTGTTGACTTCCCCAGAATTCATGTCCTTACCTCTCCCAAAACATTCACCCCATTGCATCATCACAAAAGCCTTAAATTAACTTCCAGTCTAAAACTCTTACCTTCTGAGTCATCTAAATCAAATATGTATGAGGTTTCAGGCATGGTTTATCCGCAGGCAGAATTCCTCTTCATCTGTGAACCTGTGAAATCCAGAATTCAGGTTATCTGTTTCCAAAGTGTAATGGTGGGACAGGCTCAAGTTACAATTGCACTACAAATGGAAGAAGTTAGAGGGTAAAAAGAGATAACAGGCACCAGACGTTTGCTTCCACGAGTTAGTGCAGTGCTAACTACATGTTGGGCTAATGGTAAGGTCATTGGTTTGAATCCACTAGGCTTTTTGAGGGAAAAAGCGGATGCAGGCTCCATGCTTAACCATTTTCATCCTTGGTAACTTGATGGAAGGACCTTGATTTTGAAGCAGCTCAGTGGCAGTAAGAAGTGAGGGTGTTGGAGGATTTTGGGTTGCTGGTGCTTTGCTTCCTGCGCCTGGTTCCTGCCCTCTGGACCTGGTGTTGGCTGTGCCCTCACCTTCATCGCTATCTTCTCCGAGCACTTAGACAACAGCACCAGTTCCTCAGCTCAGGGTGGCCCCCCTGCCTCGGTCCATCTGAGTGGTGACCCAGCCCCTCCACCCCACCAAACCCTGATGTTTTTCTGCCAGGCTCCATGGCTGCTCTGCCCCTCAGCTTCAGATGGTGGCCTCTTCTTGGCTCACCTTAATGGCAACCCCACAGCCGGGAACCAGCCTGGCGAGGATCCCACCAGTGGAGACCTGGAAGGCTGTGCCCTGACTTTTATGATCCAGGAAGTGTGGCCCCACTCTTTGAAATGAAGAAGGCTTTACTTCCTGTTCCCTTAAGCACGTCTGCTGATGTCTGTCATCAGGAATGAGCATTTCCTGGAGAAAAACACATGTGAGTCCTCTGGCTGTTTCCTGCTTGTAGAATTCCAAAAGGCAGACGGGGTTCTGGTCTTCTGTTCTTTCACTGTCGCCTTCAGTTTACACTGATGGTTGGGTTTTGGCTTTGAGGTTTTGGTTTTTGCTGTGGTTGCTGGTTAGATCCATCAGTCACAGGCTTCGTCTCTCTAGCAGCACATCCTGGAGCCGGATCATCTGTGTGCAGCCGCAGCCACCTCGGTGAACACTCTGGAACACTGTCCTTAGTTTGTGCGCCAGATCTTGGAGTTCTCTTCCATGCTGCAGTTAACTTTCAAATGTATCTTTTTTCTCTCCTGTTCCTCAGTGTTGCTTAGAAATCTCATTAGTCAAATATCCAACTTCATCACTTGTAATAGTTCTAAATCTTTGCCACTGTGTAAAACTTAACATTCAACCACTTGGTCATGTTACTGGTGTTGGTTGTCTTGGAGTTGAGTACGACTCGTAGTGACTCTATAAATAGCAGA